AATTTGTTCCCACTCGGACTTTTATGTCTTTAGTTGAGTACAGATCCATTGCAACATCAAAATTCACACTTTTTTTTATAATTACTGTATATCATCAGAGGTACATTACTTGGGGTTTGCAACTCGCATAGTACTGTATGGTGATATCATGTCAAGATCCCATTCAAGTCTCTTCTCGTAGATAGCGAGACTGAGGCTACGACCTTCTGACATGACGCATATCAATGTTCAAGGTTTGTAATGAAAAAAATAAACTTTTCTTGTCACTATCATAGTGAAAAATGTAATACATCGAAAATGTACAGAAAATATAGTTCTCGTAATCCGTCATATCGTGGGCAGCTATTTTGATCCACCTGGACATCCCAGTATCCTAGTTACCTCGGGCATGCGCATTCGCATTTTTTCTGAGTTGGAACGTTTATGCGAGAGTGAGATTGTGACGGGATCTTGTTATCATGTCACCGTAGTTACAAACCCCAAGTAATGTACCTCTGATATCATATAACATGAGGGGGAGGGGGGAACTCACCAAATGCCCTTCGTCACTGTGTCATTCTGTGATGTCCAGGGCTTGCTGGAGTAAATGGCTTCACCGTTAACTTTCAACCAATCTCCCGTTTGGCGAAGGCGCTCTTCAAATATGGGTATAATTCTACCATCATGGGTTGGTCCGACATTCAATAACATATTACCACCACAACTGTGAAATAGAATTCAATACAGAACTGTGAAACCTGAGCAGTCAGCAAATTGATTGATCTTCTTCCTCCAGGTTTGGTATACCCGGTAAATATATTTTATTTTAGGATAACCAGTAAAGCAGGGTCTTTCACTGGTTCCATGGTAGGAAGTATGTAAGGGGGTTTAAAAACTAACTCTGCAACGGGATTGTGCAACTCGCTGAATGTTGATTATTGCATTCTGCGAAGGGGTGGCAGTGTCAATCTGCGAAGAGCATGATTCTAATTGGTTGGTTGCTTGAAAAGCGTGAATCACAATTGTTGATTGATGCCCATATTACTTCTTTATTTAC